TTGCGTATTATTTCAATCCACGACCGCGTGGACTTGGATAGGCATTACTTTCTCTTTTCTTTAGGGCTAAATAATTGATCCATTTTTCTTTAACTTCAGATGACTTGTAGGCGTTACAAAAATTGTAATTTTTTTTAAAAAGAAGTAGTATTTGAAGTTTAAAGTTAAAAAATAGTATTTGGAATTTGAAATTATATTTGGACATACATTTCACTTGAAAAAATATTGCAGTTTTGTGAGTGAGAACAAAATTCTGAAAATTTTGAAAAAGCGGTCAAAACCACATTTTTTATTTTTGAAAAACTCATTTTAGAAAATTTCAAAAACTGTAAAATTTCATGGACAAACATGCTTTTGTATAAAAATTAATTTTTATTTTTATTTTTTATGGACAAACGGGCCTTAAGTTTTTCAAGTAAAAAGGCAAAAAGAAAAAACCAAGGAAGAAAAGTCAAAGACTACGCATTCAAATACTCCCTCCATTTAAATTCATTGTCTCTTTCTTATTTAATAATTCTTTAACTCCAACATTTCATATGACATATTTAAGACTTATAAATTTGAAGGATATGTTAGTATATCTTTAAGTCGACCAAATTTGAACAGGTGTGACACTGTTTCAGAACAGCCATGGCTGTTGGAAATTTTTGCGGAAAATTTAAATTAATCCGGGAAAGAAAAACGGGCTAGACCGGACCGGGTCGCGGGTCATCCCTCCATTTCTTTTCCCACCATTTTCCATTCACACTTTTTTTTGTTATTATTTATTAAATAACAAACCCAACAACGCTTTCTATGGGAAATGCTGTAAAGGCCAAGATTGAAGGATGTGGGAAGATATTTCTCAAAATAACTTCCGGCAAAGTAGTGACTTTGAACAACTTCCTTCATGTTCCCGAGATTAGAAAAAATTTAGTCTCTGCTGGGCTTCTTGTTAAGAATGGTTTTAAATGTGTTTTTGTTTCCGATAAGGTTGTAATAAGTAAGAACGAAATGTTTGTAGGAAAAGGTTACCTCACTGAGGGCCTTTTCAAGCTGAATGTAATGGTTGTTGAAAATAATAATAAAATTTCAGCTTCATCTTATTTACTTGAGTCAAATGATTATGGCATATACGTTTGGGTCATGTTAATTATAAAACCTTGCGGAAAATGATTAATTTGAAAGTATTGCCTAAATCTGAATGCGACAAATCAAAATGTCAAATATGTGTGGAATCTAAGTATGTTTAACATCCTTATAAGTCAGTTGAAAGGAATTCAGATACTTTAGACTTAATTCACACAGATATTTGCGATATGAAGTCAATACCATCTCGCGGTGGAAAGAAGTATTTCATAACTTTTATTGACGATAGTACTCGATATTGCTATGTTTACTTACTTAATAGTAAAGATAAAGCAATAGACGCATTCAAGAAATACAAAAATGAAGTTGAAACGCAACTTAACAAGAAAATCAAAATGATAAGAAGTGATCGGGGTGGTGAATATGAATCTCCTTTTGAACAAATATGTTTAGAATATGGAATTATTCATCAAACAACGGCTCCTTACATGCCCCAATCCAATGGGATTGCAGAAAGAAAGAACATCAAAAGGAGATGAGGAACGCATTATTGATAAGTTCTGATTTGCCACAGAACTTGTGGGGGGAAGCCGTTCTTACGGCTAGCCGAATACTAAATCGAGTACCCCATAGCAAAACACAATCCATTCCATATGAAAAATGGAAAGGAAGGAAGCCCAAATTAAATTATTTTAAAGTGTGGGGGTGTTTGGCAAAAGTGCAAGTTCCTAAACCCAAAAGGGTAAAATTAGGACCGAAAATCGTTGATTGTGTTTTCATAGGATATGCGACTAATAGTAAAGCATATCGATTTATGGTTCATAAATCAGAAAATTCCGATATTCATAATAATACGGTTATAGAATCAGATAATGCTGAGTTCTTTGAAAATATATATCCGTATAAAAAGGAACGTGAGTCGATTGGTGAAGGATCTAAACGACCTCGGAAAGAAACAAAAGAAAGCACACTTAACCAGGAGGATCCAAGACGTAGTAAACGTCAAAGAACGTCTACTTCATTTGGACCAGATTTTGTGACTTTCTTATTGGAAAATGAGCCTCAAACATTTAAAGAAGCTATGTCTTCTTCGGAATCATTGTTTTGGAAAGAGGCAGTCAATAGTGAAATAAAATCTATATTGAACAACCATACATGGAAATTGGTTGATCTTCCTCCTGGAAATAAACCGTTGGGTTCTAAATGGATCTTTAAGAGAAAAATGAAAGATGATGGCACTATTGACAAATTTAAGGCAAGACTTGTGGTCAAAGGGTATAGACAACGAGAAGGTCTTGACTATTTCGATACATACTCTCTAGTTACAAGAATTACGTCCATACGAACGTTAGTAGCGTTAGCTGCAGTTTATGATTTTGAAATTCATCAAATGGATGTTAAGACAGCCTTCTTAAATGGAGAGTTGGAGGAAGAAATTTACATGGAACAACCTGAAGGGTTTGTGGTTCCAGGTAAAGAAAAGAAGGTATGTAGACTTGTTAAGTCCTTTACGGACTAAAACAAGCACCCAAACAATGGCATGCGAAATTTGACCAAACAATGTTGTCAAATGGTTTTAAAATAAATGAATGTGATAAATGTTACATTAAAAATGTTCCAAATCACATAGTCATTGTTTGCTTATATGTGGATGATATGCTGATAATGAGTAATGACATTGCCAACAAAATAAAAGTATGCTAACTAGCAAGTTTGATATGAAAACTTTGGAGTTGCTGATTTAATTCTTGGAATTAAGATCCATAAGACTTCTCAAGGTCTGGCATTGTCACAATCTCATTATATTAAGACAGTACTTGAAAAATTCAAGCACTTGGGCTTTAAAGTTGCAAAGACTCCAATTGACGTGAATCTTGCATTAGCAAAGAACAAAGGCCAAAGCGTATTACAATTGGATTATGCTCGTGTGTTGGGTTGCTTAATGTACATCATGAATTGTACACGACCAGATATAGCTTGTGCTATAAGTAAATTGAGTCGATATACGAGCAATCCAGGTCAATCTCATTGGATGGCTATGAAACGAGTTTTGGGGTATTTAGTACATACCCAGGACTTTGCTTTGCACTACATTAAATATCCTGCGGTCATTGAGGGATACTGTGATGCAAATTGGATCACCGGATCAACTGATTCCAAGCCAACAAGTGGATATGTATTCACTATTGGTGGAGGAGCGGTATCTTGGAAGTCATCCAAACAAACTTTGTATTGCCCGCTCTACAATGGAGGCTGAATTCATAGCCTTAGATAAAGCCGGTGAAGAAGCTGAATGGCTCTGGAATTTCTTGGAAGATATTCCATTTTGGCCCAAACCATTGGCACCAATATGCATACATTGCGATAGTCAAGCGGCAATTGGAACGGCTGGGAACGTTTTGTATAACGGTAAAGTCTCGCCATATACGACGAAGACATAAAACCGTTAGGCAATTACTCTCTAGAGGAATTATCACGATTGATTATAAAAAGTCAAGTGATAATGTGTCGGATCCACTTACAAAAGGTCTAACTAGAGAGGTAGTTGAGAAATCATCAAGGGGAATGGGACTGTGGCCGAGAACAAGTCATAGTGGCGGTAACTCTACCTAGAAGACTGGAGATCCTAAGATCTAGGTTCAAGGAGATCAAACAAAGTCATTAATGACGGTTCAACATTGTCAACTAAACTTTTGGTCCATTCTCGTGATGAGACAATGTTCAGTACCAAGGATAAAGCATTAAGGCTTTTTAATGATTTCTAAATTTGATACGGGGTATATCAAATAGTGTATCTACAGGATGACACGTTTAGGAATCATCTATGTAAGTGTGAAGTGTTAGCCGCTTCAAGGAGAACTTTGTAAGGTCAGTTCTCTACGCACTTATGAAACAAGACGGTGTTCATGGCTGAAACGAACACAACAATGAGAATCAAAGACGGTTAAGGGTTGGTTGTGTGACTTATGGTTGTCTATGTATACACCAAAGTTCGACGGTTCAAAGATATCAAATCTACCGATTGATCGAGTATATCCGACATAAGTTCACTAAGGAAAGTTCAAAGGGAAACCTACTTATCCAGATGCAATTAATCCTTGCTTGCGAATCACACAGTTTTTCATGCATGTTTCCGTTAGCCATTTCCCATTCAAGTGGGGGATTGTTGGGGTTTTATGTATTTAAGTATATTAAATACTTAAAAAAGGGTGAATGGGAAATGGAGAGAAATAAAATTTTTGAGTGAAATTTTAAGTTTCCCCCCTTGGCAAAAGGACATTGTCCCATATTGAAAGAGGAAGGGGTTTTTATGGGTATATAAGCAATTGCTCTTATTCTAGCTCTTAAAGAGTTGAGAAGGCAAGCCTCGCGACGTCGTCGTCGTCGCTCGCTCGGCTCGGCTTCGGCTTCGGATTCGGATTCGGTCAAATGATCGATTGATTGATTCCGTTTTTCTGTTTTGGTAACAGAAAATTAACTACCCTCTTCAATTTTCCCTCTTTTTTGTTGAGTAAATAGCCATTTATGTTATGGCATTTGTGCTGTGGCCGTTTTGCATAAACAGTCATTCTGAAGAGTTGCACCTCTTCATATTCCAGCCCAACTTTGGCTATAAATACAAGACTATTCTGCTCAGAATTTCCATACGATTTTCTGAGTTTCTCCTCCTTCTTCTGCATACTTTTAACATCAAACAAAGCAACAGTAAGTGTGATTTGCTACCGAACTTTGTGTTCGCTGAAACGCTAGGGTGTGAAGTACCACTACACCAGTGTGTAATTCCTTCTATCCTGGGAGGAAATAATCCATAACCTTGGGTACTAGGAGGGGATTAAATTCCTTAAGGAAACACTGTGAATTCAGTGGGCTCTAATTGATTTTATCTCTTTACGTTTTCTGTTTATATATTATTCTACTTTGTTTTTCCAGAATTAGTTTACAAATACAGTTTACTAACACTAATACATATACATAAAATTCTATTTGACCTTATATACATAGTGTAATTTTCCGACGATCCAAACCCCTTCCGCCACCCTAGAATCAAGAGGATTTAAAAGCTAATACATATACATAAAAAAAATTTTAACCCTATATACATAATGTAATTTTCCGACGATCAGAACCTCCTTCCGCCACCCTGACTCTGTCCATGCTGCTGAGTGCTCCAACAATAACTTGGAAGATCCAAGTATAACAAAGCATTTTAAGGTACCGGAAAAATAAACAAGTTTTAGCGACGAGACTTTTTTCGGACAGTGATTCTTTCACTTTCTGTGGCGAACAATCACCAGCGGCCCCGAGATCTTCCAAACAGGAAACAAGCAATGGCTACGATCAATACCAATATGACCAAAGGCAACGATATCACTATTACATGCATCTTCTTCTCTATTATTGCAATTTCTGCTTTTCTCTCTTTACAAGTAGTGCTGCGATTCCTCTACTCCTGCATCGACACGAAAACATAATTTTTCAAGAAACAAGTGCTATTAATTAGTATTATTGCTTTTTTATTGAAGATAGAAGCGCAGCTCGGTGCACTAAGCTCCCGTTATGATGGGGTCCAGAGAAGGGCTAGACCACAAGGGTCTATTGCACGCAGCTTTTTTCTGCATTTCTGCAAGAGGTTGTTTCCACGGCTCGAACCCGTGATCTCCTTGTCACATGACAGCAATTTTATCAGTTATGCCAAAACTCACTTTCTTATTGAAAACGGGAACATTGTTAATTGAGAGAGATCTTCTATGTACCATTCTGACCCAATCTAGTTTCGAGCTTAGTCAAATAAGTTTTTCTTTGACTATAATTTTTTAAATATTTTAAGTTATTAATTATTGTGACTTACAGTAATTTGTAAATAGTTTCAAATATGTATATTTCATTTCAAAAAATTTAAAAATTTATGTCCGAATCTATATACAAAATTAATAAGTTTGACCTAGAAATCCAGATGGTACCACATAAATTGATAAAAAGAAAGTATTAAAATCATTAACATGTTGTTTACTTTACACGGTGCATGTGATTCTCTCCATATCTCCAACATATCTTAATCTAAAATATAAGGAAAAAATTAAAACAAAAAAAGGACTCCTTCACCCACCCCAAAATCCAAGCCAAAACCTCCTATGTCAGGACATCTGTATGTTACTTTTTTTATCCTAATTTATGCGATACTCTTTTCTTTTTAATCCGTCTAAAAAAGAAGGATATATTCAATTCCACTTTAAATTTTTCTTTTCATCCTTAATGAAATGATTTCTAACCATACAAATTTCTATAAGTTATTTTAGATCACAAGTTTTAATTTTTCTTTTTCTTAAATTTCGTACCTAATTATTAGTAAACCACATCCAATTTGTCCAAGAGCTCTTATAGTAAAAGAAAAGAAGATAGAGGAAAATGAATACATACCTTGTCTAGCAAAACTACTTGGATTAGATTTTCCTGTGGAATTTTATACAAAGCCAAAACTCACATAAACAGAGAGGAGGGAGAGTTTGAGAAGCTTTGCAGAAAGAAATGAGGAGTGGAAAGTGATAAATGCATTAGCAAAAAAGGGAGAATAAAAAGACAACCAAAAATGACATGCAGACAAAATACAAACACACGATGCTAGCAACTTTCTACGTGTATGCTGTTAGACGAGGTTTCTTCCTTGTCACCACAATCCCCAAAAATAATGCATCAATTTCTTTTCTTTTGCTTTAAATATTTGAGGTGCGAAATTTCTTGACTTTTTCTTTATTTTGAGAGCAATAAAGGGTTGAATCTCAATGGATCGTGGTAGCAAGATCATTTTATAACTTACAATATCCAATTCAGCATTTAAATTGTCTGCAAAGGATTATACCCGTCGCTAGATGGAAATTGTATTTCAAGGCAGTGAGAGGCGTATCTAAGATTTCTAGTACATGTGAGCATTACTAAAAAAGGAAGAAAAAAAATAAATATGGAGTAAGTGAGAATTGATCCATATTCCTCTCGGTAAATAACTCAACTTTCAACCAAATGCATCATTCAACCTTCATGGAGCATGGGTTGATTTTGCGAAATGACCATGAGTTCACGTGCCACGTAATTTTTCCTATAAATCCGCCTCTGAAGGCGGTCACTGCGCCTCTTCTGCCACGATGACTTAACTGTTGTTCGCTACTGTGTTAAAACACAAAATCAGAAAACTGTTAGAAGAATAAAAGAAACTGGAAAACAGTAAAGAATAAGAAATATTCTGAGTCCACAATTTGCTTGTGCGTCCTTAAGGAATTTTAACCCCTCACAAGTTGCCAAGGTAATGGATTAAATCCTCCCAGGATGAAACGGAATAAACCTTCCTGCAACAGTGGCAATACAAACTACAGGATACCAACGAACTCAAAGAACGGAGCAAAATCACACTTACGAATTTGAGAGAGAGAGACTGCGAATTAGAATGCAGTATTTTCAGAAAGAAGGAAGTTCTGTAATATTTTTGGTGTGTTAAAAACGAAGCCATGCCACAGAATTTATAGGCAATTATTGGAAGAGGTGTGATGTTTGTTCTGGAAAAGGTGTCTGTTCAGAAGTTTACGCGTCCTGTCGCGGTCCTACCGCGGTTACGCCAGGACCGCGGCCAAACTAGCCTTCTGAATCTGCAGCAGTGATCTGGCATTTAATTAATTATTAAATAATTAATTAAATAAATTTTGTCCAAAAATAATCTTATCGATCGATCATTTGACAAATCCAAATCCAAATCCGAATCCGAATCCGAATCCGAATCCGAATCCGAATCCGAATCCGAATCCGAATCCGAATCCGAAGCCGAAGCCGAAGCCGAAGCCGAAGCCGAGCCGAGCGAGCGAGCGACGACGGCGCGAGGGTTCATTCTCTTCAACTCCTTTTAAGAGCTTTAAGAAGTGATTCTATATATAAGCACACAAATGTAGTTGTCCATCACCAATGAGGGACAAAGTGCAAGTCAAAAGCTCACTTTATTCAAATTTTCATTTCCCTCCATTTTATTTCCCACCATTTCCAATTCACACTCTTAGACTTTAAAGCCCAATGCTTAAAGTCTTTGAAGCCCAATGCCTTTAAAGTCCAACTATCCCCCACATGAATGGGAATGGCTGTAACAAGAATGATCATAGATGAAAGCTGTGTGATTTGCAAGTAAGGATTAATCGCATCTGGATAAGTAGGTTTCCCTTTGAACTTTCCGTAGTGAACATATGTCGGATATACTCGGTCAATCGGTAGATTTGATATCTTTGAACCGTCGAACTTTAGTGTATACCTAGACAACCATATGTCACACAACCAACCCTTAACCGTCTTTTGGTTCTCATTGTTGTGTTCGTTTCAGCCATGAACACCGCCTGGTTTCATAAGTGTGTAGAGAATTGGCCTTACAAAATTCTCATTGAAGCGGCTTCCACTTCACACTTACATAGGTGATTCCTAAACGTGTAATCCTTTAGATTGACACTATTTGATAAATACCACATCAAACTTAGGTAATCATTAAAGAACGTGTAAAGTTCTATCCTTGTTACTGAACATTGTCTTCATCACGAGAAGGGACCAAAGATNTTTATCGTATCGTTAAATACGTTGTTACATCGAAAGTGAAACTTTATAAAATGACAGGTTCGATATGGTGGCGACATTACCTTGCTTCTTCCTCTCATCTTATCATTCCTTATTATTAAATTCTTTATCCTAAATTTTTTATTATTTCTACTATATATCATATTTTTTCTTAGTGATGTTGCAAGTTTACTTCATATTATTGGTGCATGACAGCATGAAATAGCGGCAAACGATACAATCTATCAAAACGTTGTATTCATCAAAAAATACAGTGCAAATGCAGTATACTACAATATGATACATTATCAAACAATATGTAACAACAATCCAAACAAGCTTTTATTTATTAATTAATAAATAAATAAATAACGACCATAAATCGTGCGGGTTTGATTAGGGTTCATTGTTTAGCAGCCTATGTGACGGGCAAAGGAGAGTAGAAGCTAAGGCTTTGGTCAAATTATGTTTTATCTTAAGAAATTATTAAAATATGAATTATTAATTTAGAATCTAGTAACTCAACATATTTAGAATATCGGATCCATAAGCTTCAAATCCTAGCTTCGCCGGCATGAATCCTCAATCTTAACCCAATCAAACTTGATTTACCTCACATCCACATTTAACACCCTAGTTGTGAAACATATTAAGGTGTTCATTGCTAAAAATGTTAAATATTAAGTTTTTTGACCTAAAAAAACTTTAAAACGAAATTATAAGATTATTTTTACAAAAACAAAAGTTTTTAAGTGGTAGTTAA